CTGTGTGTTAGGGAGTGTTTTGATTGTCTAGAGCTTAATGACAGTGATGATAGGGTTGAGTGTAAGAATGTGAGAGTCTGTTATAGACCACCCAAACAGGATGAAGAGGTGGATGAAACATTCTATAAGCAGCTGGGAGAAGTCTCACAATCACTAGCCCTTTTTCTCGTGGGGGACTTCAACTTACCAGATGTCTGCTGGAAATACAATACAGCAGAGAGGAAAAATTCTAGGAGGTTCCTGGAGTGTGTGGAAGACAACTGCCTGACACAGCTGGTAAGCAAGGCAACTAGAGATGGCACCCTGCTGGACCTGTTGTTTGCGAACAGAGAAGGACTTGTGGGTGATGTGATGGTTGGAGGCTGTCTTGGGCACAGTGATCATGAAATGACAGAGTTTTTGGTTCTTGGAGAAGTAAGGAGGGGGGTCAGCAGAACTGCTTCCTTGGGCTTCCAGAGGGCAGACTTTGGCCTGTTTAGGGGCTGGCTGACAGAGTCCCTGGGGAGGCAGTCCTGAAGGGCAAAGGACTCCAGGAAGGCTGGACATTCTCCAAGAAGGAAATCTTAAAGGCACAAGAGCAGGCCATCCCCATGTGCCGAAAGACGAGCCAGCAGGGAAGAAAGCTGGGCTGGCTGAGCAGACAGCCTGGGCTGGAACTCAGGAAAAAAAGGAGAGTTTATGGCCTTTGGAAGAAGGGGCAGGCAACTCAGAAGGGTGGCAAGGATGTCGTGAGGTTATGCAGGGAGAAAATCAGAAGGGCCAAATCCCAACTAGAACTTAATCTGGCCACTGCCATAAAAGACAATAAAAAATGTTTCTATAAATACACTGGCAACAGAAGGAGGGCTAAGGAGAATCTCCATCCTTTATTACATGCAGGGGGAAGCATAGTGACAAAGGATGAGGAAAAGGCTGAGGTACTTAATGCCTTCTTTGCCTCAGTCTTTAATGGTATGACCAGTTGTTCTCCAGGTACCCGGCCCCCTGAGCTGGGAGACAAGGACAGGGAGCCGAATGAAGCCCCCATAATCCAAGGGGAAATACTTAGTGACCTGCTACACCACCTACACACACACAAGGCTATGGGGCTGGATGGGATCCACCCAAGGGTAGTGAGGGAGCTGGCAGAAGTGCTCACCAAGCCACTTTCAATCCTTTACCAGCTGTCCTGGCTAACTGGGGAGGTGCCAGTTGAGTGGAGGTTAGCAAATGTGACTCCCATCTACAAGAAGGGCCGGAAGGAGGATCCGGGGAACTACAGGCCTGTCAGTCTGACCTCAGTGCCAGGGAAGGTTATGGAGCAGATCATCTTGAGTGCCATCACATGGCAAGTACAGGACAACCAGGTGATCAGGCCCAGCCAGCATGGGTTTATGAAAGGCAGGTCCTGCTTGACCAACCTGATCTCCTTCTATGACAAGGTGACCCTCTTAGTGGACAAGCGAAAGGCTGTGGATGTTGTCTACCTGGAATTTAGTAAAGCCTTGGGCACCATTTCCCATAGCACTCTCCTGGAGAAACTGGCTGCTCATGGCTTGGATGGGTGTACTCTTTGCTGGGTAAAAAAACTGGCTGGATGGCAAGGCCCAAAGAGTTGTGGTGAATGGAGTTAAATCCAGTTGGTGGCCGGTCACAAGTGATGTTCCACAGGGCTCAGTACTGGGGCCATTTCTGTTTAATCTCTTTATCAATGATCTGGATGAGGAGATTGAGTGCGCCCTCAGTAAGTTTGCAGGCAACACCAAGTTGGACCTATTGATCTGCTGGAGGGTAGGATGGCCCTGTGCAGGGACCTGGACAGGCTGGATTGATGGGCCGAGGCCAGCTGTATGAGGTTTAACAAGGCCAAGTGCTGGGTCCTGCACTTGGATCACAACAACCCCATGCAATGCTACAGGCTTGGGGAAGAGTGACTGGAAGGCTGCCTGTCAGAAAAGGACCTGGGGGTGTTGGTCGATGGACAGCTGAACATGAGCCAGCAGTGAGCTCAGGTGGCCAAGAAGGCCAACAGCATCCTGGCTTGTATGAGGAATAGTGTGGCCAGCAGGAGCTAGGGAAGCAATGGTCCCCCTGTACTCAGTGCTAGTGAGGCCGCACCTGGAATACTGTGTCCAGTTTTGGGCCCCTCAATACAGGAAAGACTTTGAGGTGCTGGAGCGTGTCCAGAGAAGGGCAACAAAGCTGGTGAAGGGTCTGGAGCACAGGCCTTATGGGGAGCGGCTGAGGGAACTGGGGTTGTTTAGTCTGGAGAAGAGGAGGCTGAGGGGAGACCTTATCACTCTCTACAACTACCCGAAAGGAGGTTGTAGTGAGGTGGGTGTTGGTTTCTTCTCCCCAGTAACAAGCAATAGGACAACAGGAAATGCACGAGGGGAGATTTAGATTAGATACTAGGAAAAATTTCTTCACCAGAAAGGTGAAGCATTGGAACAGGCTTCCCAGGGAAGTGGTTGAGTCCCCATCCCTGAAGGTATTTAAAAGACATGTAGATGTGGTGCTTAGGGACATGGTTTAGTGGTGGACTTGGTAGTGCTAGGTTAATGGTTGGACTCAATGATCTTAAAGGTCTTTTCCAACCTAAACGATTCTATGATTCTATGAAGCAATGAATGAATTTCTTTTTCTGCCTTGCTCACGCATGCAGCTTTTGCTTTTTTTTATTAACTGTCTTTATTTCAGCCACAAGTCTTTTCACCTTCCCTCAATTTTTTGCCTTTTTGTTATTAGATGTACTTTTGTCTCTATCTTGACAATTGAAGGACTTCACAGCTGTGTTGGTGTTAGCACTACGTATGGTGAAAGTTCGAATAGGTGACTGTTTCCTTGGTTTGGCCATTTTTATTAGTCTACTGGGGTTTTTTTGTCTTGGTATTGCTAGCAGCACCAGGCTTCTGCTTTGTAGTACCATGTCACTGTCATCTTCCTTTCTGTGAACTGGATTAGGGATTTGTTTGGGAAGCTGGATTCTTCCATCCTCCCCGATGTAGTCCAAAAAGCTGCTGTCTAGCTGCACACCCCCACCTCTGCGCCCCGGACATATTTGCTTAAGTAAATGCACTGTGGCTGTAGCCATCACAATTGCCTACATTGTTCTCTTTCATGGGTTTGCTGAGTCCAGAGGGGCTAGAGTGATAGCTCAGTGCAAGAGAAGTGATGGAAATTTCATTTGGCTACAGAGGGCCTTGGTACATTTTTATCTTACAGATTTATAGCTTTTGTTCATCAAGTAGAGATGACTTTTCACAGTCACAGTCCTATGTCCCTTTCCACTTCCCTTTCCTCTGCTTTGCCCTGGCAGCTGTTTCTGGCCAATCGACCTGCAGTAGGGTAGAACTTCTCTTGATTTTTATTTTTTTAACATATTTTTTATCATCATTCCTTTATAATCAGTTTAAGCAACTAAATGCTTGATACTCTTCCCTTCCACTGCCTGTGTAATGTCCTTGTAGCGCTACTTTTCTCTTGGAAAGGTAGGGAAGCCAGTTGTGGCTTGAACCTGGGTTTCTTATGCTGGTTACGGAGTGCCTCATTAGGCACTAGCCACAACCAGAAATGGCTCAGGAAAGCTTCTCGTGCTTCTTCTACAGGAGGTGCCAGCAAACTCACCTTCAAAGCATCTCTCACACTAGAAGAAGTGCAAAAGGAGAACCCTCAGGTAACCAAGGGCCGCTATCACCCTACGGAGTGCTCAGCATTGCAGCGTGTGGCCATCCTCATCCCGCACCGCAATCGAGAGAAGCATCTGCTGTACCTCCTGGAGCACCTCCACCCCTTCTTACAGAGGCAGCAGCTGGACTACGGCATCTACGTTATTCACCAGGTGAGGCAACTGTGCAGAGATGTGTTCGGGTGGGGGTGATGTCAGTGCTCTGCAGTCCGAGGAGAGGCATGCTGCTGCCTCTGCTGTCTAACATCAGCCCTCCAAGCCTACTTCGAACACTTCTACCAGTTGAGGGATGCAACGGTGCCTGCAGCCATTGCTGGTAGCACTACAGGATCTCTGCTGCTGTGGCAAAGCTGGGAAGCATTAACAAACAGTGTCTTTAACTGGTGTCCATTTCTCAGTCTAAGTAACTTACTATTTCTGAGTTAGCGTTCAAGGTAAGCATCTTTTGCATTACTAATGCAACTCACTTCTCTTGCAGTATACACATACGTAACTAGGCTGATGTGTTTTCTGTCTTTAAATTTGGAGTTGTTTGGATCGAAGGCCTCAGTTTGTATCTAGCTCTTCTCTCCCATCTGCTTGCTGGCTGTTGTGCTTGGTAAGCTGTGTGTATCATGTGGTTGTATTTACTTCTGCTGTCTCAAACTAAATATGCCAGCTACTGTGTGTAGGTGCTTTACTTGCCCAGCACAGGCTGTGGGAAGTAGTAGTCATGGCAGAGCATTTGGTTCCTGAAAGATTTATTAATTTCTTTATTTGCCTTCTTTGTAGCTCTGCTGAGTCAGCGGCTAAAATATGAGCATATAGACTTGTGCCACATTGTCTTTCATCTAAGGTGCTTATGTTCTGGTCACATGAGCTAAAAGCAGTATATATTTCTCATTTGTAATATGTTGTCTTTTTCTTGATCTTCTTTGTGTTTCCTTTCTTTTACTATTTTTTACTTAGGTGTTCTGCTTTGACTCTAAACAGATTTTTCAGACAGCAGGAGAAAAAGGTGATAATATAGTTTCTCCTCCCTTCTGTTTAAAGAGGCTAGAGTCAATTAACCAGTATGAGGCAGTGCATTCTAGGTGAAAGTTTATACTTTTGCTCAATGGCACAGCAGAACAGCAAGAAAAGTCATGGCAGGATATTCACTTTCAGTTGGAATAGGCTGAATGTTCTTTCATTGTTTAGAGTCATGTGGCCCATAGAGTGGAAAAACTGAGGCTTTCTTTCTGCATTAGTATGTACTATAATCGTACATATAATGGCTCACTCCAGCTAACAAGCAGTGGTTAGCAGTAAATCATTGGGAGAATGGGCATACGTTCTTTATTGAAATATGTGAGGTAGAGAACGGCTGTTGTCATGTTAGCAAAAAGTAATATAGAAGTACAAAATTTTTGTCTGATGTGAGCAGCAATGTTGAGTCTGGACTTCTTCTATCCGAGTTTTTACTTGGAAGCTTTTGCTTAGGCTTTCCATGTAGATAGGCGTATGCAAAGACTGGAAAGTGAGTCTAAGAAAACTCTCTTTTATGGCAAATCCATTTTCACTCCCTGTTTGTGATGCCATTAGTTGTTTTAAGTATATTTTGAGGAAAGAAATAGTTAAGAACAGGATTTAACTATTAAAATACACAGCATTTACTTTGGAGGAAGATTAAGAAATGGGACTTTCATATTTTTCTCTCTGAGCCATTGAAGGGCATACGCCAGATCTCTTCTTTACAGGCTACTTGTAACATCTTGAAAATTGTGTTTCTTTGCACAACTGTGTGGATACATGAATGCAGTGCTGAAAAAGAAGGGAGTTTGTAATCCCTAAAGGGTGAATAATTTCTTTCCCAATGTAAGTTTGTCTTGTGGTCAGTGTTCTTCTTCCATAGAAACAAAGTAAGACAATTCTCTCCTCGATAAATGATGAGAGTAAACTTTGTGATTTGTTCAGCATGTGGTCGAACGTTGAAAACTGCCCTTCTTGGAAAGCAATTCTAGCTGTTGTTTGGCTACCTTCTGTGCAGAAAGTGGGCTGTGGTGGCTGACCGTACTGATGGGGGAGACAGAACAGCAGCAGATGGTAAATGTTGCTGCTGAACTAGGCTGGGTTTGATACCCAATACTCCGTATGTTCTTTGCCAGTCATCTGAATTGTTCTGTTCAGTCAGTAACCAATGTTTTCATCATCAGGAGAAGATTTTCTGACATATATTTTCATATACAGGAAACATTAAAAAAAAAAAAAGTCAGGAATTTGACATCACAGATTTTGGGTGAATTGTATCTGAGTTTTGCTTGGAAAGAGCGTTCCTTCCCTTACTGAGAATGGAAACAATTGATTATCCCTCTCTTAATTTCTCAGAGCGGGCGCTGGGCTGTATTTCCCCTAACTGCAGGTATGGATCCATAAATCCCATAAATCTTTGTGCAGGAGCAGATGGCTGTTAGTGATGGTGAACAAATTAAGTGTTACTTTTTAGAATGATAAAACATGCTTTGTATACAACTGCTTTCCCCTACAGTGAACTTTCTGTCAGTCTGGGGAGGCCAGCTTCTTTCTCATCTTCCATGGAGCCTCTTTCAGTCCAGGCACCTTCTAGCAAATGACCCCTTTCTGTTGCAAATTGCTTTTTTATTCTTTCAAGTACATAAGGTTCCTAGCTCTGGAAAATGACTGTCCTGTCAGTTTCTGGGAGCACAGGGCTTGGCCCTCTGACTCCCACATGGAAACGGGAGGCAGCTCACCACCTTGTCCTCAGGAGCAGAAAGCCTTCTACAGGCTGGCATGTGTGCACAGCCCAGTGAAAAATAAATAGCAAGATAAGCACACCTGTTGCTCCACAGTGAATGGTGACATGATAAGCTTACAAAACTGCCAGGTGTGTGTGTGTATACATATACCTCAGCGGTGAAAAGTGATATTTTTGAAAAGCGAAGATGCACTAACTTATAGGAAAAGCAAATGACGAAGGCTAGTAAAAGTCAAGTGAAGCCCTGTGCTAGGGGGAGTCCCTGTGTAGCATATTACATTATAGACAGGAGTTAAAAATTAAGAGACCTTCTTTTTATTTCCCATTCTGCCACCTACTGTGTGACCTAAGGAAATACAGTGGACTCTTTAAGCATTACTATCCTCTAAACTGAGTGGACAAGCATAAACCATCCGTGGCAGGTGTTCTGACAGCTATAAACCAATCAGTATGGGTGTAATGTTTTCATGTTTTGTTTTGTTAAACAACTTTCATAAGCTTTACTGACACAGTTTTGTGGAGTGCCAGTTTCTAAACTGTTTACTGATACCTCTTTTGTTACATAGCCTGATGGGAACTCCAGGACAGGAGCAGCAATAGCAGTGAAATGGCATCATGCAGCATGCATATTTCCAGTGCCCAGATAACCATAGGCTCTCCTGACCCTGGCTGTGTGTGTTCATGACAAACAGAGACTGAAGAAACACTTTGCATCGTTGGCCACTCTGGTGCTGTATCTAATGTTACAGGGTAGCTCTTTCTGTAGTTACTACTGTAAAGGCTGTGACACACAAATGTGGTTGAGAACCACAATTAGAACAAATGCCCGGGAGCAGTTCTGGTTCAAAAGGTTTGACGCCTTCTTCAGAGGTTTTTTTCCATTCTCTTCCACAGGCTGGCAGCACCAAATTTAATCGAGCTAAACTGCTGAATGTAGGATACCTAGAGGCCCTAAAAGAAGCGAACTGGGACTGTTTCATTTTCCATGATGTGGATCTGGTGCCAGAAAATGACTTTAACATTTACATGTGTGACAGACAACCAAAGCACCTTGTAGTTGGCAGGAACAATACTGGATACAGGTAGGAAACCAGGAATATGGAAAGAATACCAAGTGGGAAATGCCAAGTTACTGATAATGTTCCTCTTCTGATGGGGCTGTATGCTGGTATCTACCCTTCCTTCTGACACCAGGTTTCTGGTGGTAACGTTCTGCCTGTCTGGAGCACCTTTTGACAAAAGGTAACTGTATGGACATCTCTGAAGTCAGCTCTGTGGTCACCTGTACGAATGATCATTGTCATCATTCTGGTTGCTGGGGTGAGGTAAAGGGCATTTTGAGAGGAAAGCAATGTGACAGAGGTGGTGTGGACACCTTCTGTCAAAGCTAGAAATACATTTGCAGTGTCCTGGTACTGTGATTTGACAGCGTGATCTTACTGTTGTGCTAACAGAACTTGCCGCTTAGCTTTTGCTGTTGAAGAGGTAACTTCTGATATTGAGAGCTCGTGTGAGAATCTGCCAAGGGATAGGATTGTCCTTTAAGTATTTGGCTGTACAGCATCTAATACAGGATTGTTTGGATTTTTAAATGGGTCCCCTAAGTGATAGTGTGATATAAATAATTTAAAGTGAAAAGTCAGGTTCAGTCCACCTCAGAGAAAAAAGGCTCTGGTGCTTGGTGAATTTAATGACTAGAGTGGTTTCACTGAATGTGTTTCTTTCAAGAGTCACCTCTTATGTCATGTTACTCTAAATATTAATTAGAAGTGGGCTTTTCAAAAGCTGATCTGAGTACTTTGAAGTAAAGCTCTGCTTTACTTCTGGGTGTCCTTTGTTAAATACATGAGAAAGAGGTGGGATGTGCAAATTCTTGTGCAGAATAATATTCACTTCCCAGTTATTCAGTGAAAATGGGAAGAAGCACAAAAGAACTAAGCTTGTGACAAGTTTTTGGAGCACTGTGCCTTGCAGAGAGAATGCTAAAGGCTACACGATGGTTGTGCACCAAAGCAACAGAAACATTGCTTTGGTTAATTGACAGGCATGTAGAATCCAGGCTAATAACATGGCACAAAGCTTGAGGTGCTTTACTTAATCTCCTGTGCCTTAGTTACTGCAAGTGTTTAGTTTAGCTAAGCATGCAGATGGATTTTTTTTTTTTTCTTCTTTTACTAAGGTGTCGTCTTACTATTAATTTCCTCAGGGTTCTCCTGTTTGTGGAAATGAGCTGTTAGTTATGGGTCAGCTTTAAGCTTTGGCTTTAAAGAGTCTTGCACTGACAAAATGCTTTTGTTGTGAATACCCTGCACCAGTATTCACTAGGATACTGGTGGTTTGAATTAGGTTCATACTTTCTTTTCTATGTCACTGCCTCTGTTTATACATCTCTGAAGTGCGGATAATAATGCTCTACTTCCAAGGGAATTCCTGGGTATGTCTGAAGGAATTCAGATCCTGAGCTCAAGAATAATACCTAAACTGAGCTGAGACCATGGGTTGAAATCCCAGTTGGGTGACCTCAGTGTTTTTCTTAGGCTGAGGTGAGCATACTGAGACATGTCCCTCCGATGGGATTGAGAAAGCTGAAGTCATACGTGGTCTGCGTTAACACAAAATATCCTGGGTAGGAATGTGGGTTTTCTGTGGGTTTCTTGAGGTTTTTTTGTTTGTTTTTCTTCCAGGGGGATATCCTCTATGCTAATCTTAGCAGCTGTGCTCCTCTGGAGAGCAAGTACCCTATGTTTAGTTACATAAACTACAATTTGGGTTTAGATTCTTTAGGAAAAGGTTTATATATTCAAACTTTGAAGGTGATGGTGGGAAAAACTTTTCTAGCATAGCTAAGCTATTTCCTTGAGACCAGCACAACATCCTTTCCTAATGACCATTTCTATTGTATGGTTTCTTCAGTCCAATTTTACAAATCCCAAAGGAGCTGATGTTCTCTTGTCCTCAGGGAAGAGGTGGTTGAACACTGTTAGAGCGGTGCATTTTTGCAAACGATGTCATCTAGGAGCAAGACATGCCTGGGCCCTGCCAGCTCTGCTCTGCCTGAGGAGGGTTGAGTGGACAGCACTGTCCTGGCTACAGCTTGGGCTCCTTCAGTGTCTGCCTCTCCAGTGGCACAGGGGAATTACGGGGTGCATGTATGGATGTGTGGGTGGGCAGTCAGTTCCCAAACCCTACCAGGCTGCTGGAACGGGGGGATGTGGGATTGTTGGTGACTGGCAGTGCAGCCTGAAAGCATGGCTGGGCAGGGCTCTTCCCTGCTGTTGCTGCTTATGGGACCTCCTTGCTGTGCATTCCACCTTTTCACTCTATTTTTCTAGAGTACCTGTAGCAGAAGTTTTAAGGTGGTGATGCATAATTAAAACTTGATAGGGCCTCTGCTACCTTGTGGTTTGTCCCCTCTAGGCAAGAAGATAAAGGGGAGAGAGCAAGGAATAGTGAAAATTCCAAAAGTAGAAAAAAACGCAGGTAGAGCACACAAAAGACTGCATCTGCCTAGAACAATCCTTTTTGTATGTTTATATAAATAACATCATCTTTTGGGGAAATGTATCACAGTCCCAGCAAATGACAGTTGAAGCTTTTTTCAGACAACTGGAAGAAGCCTCATGTATACAGGCCCTAGTCCTTGTGGAAGACCGTAATCATCCTGGTGTCTGCTGGAAGTGCAACACAACAGGGCACCAGTAATCCAGGAGATTTCTGAAGTGAATTGATGATAACTTCCTGACACAGATGATCAGAGCTGATAAAGGCGGGTGTTCTGCTGAACTTTATACTTAAAAACAAGGAAGAACTAGTCGGGGATGTGATGGTCAGAAACAAGGAGGGAATGAGGCAAATAGCAGGATCACAACCCTAGAGTTCCTGTTCAGGGATCTGCTTGGAAGAATCACTTGGGAAGAATCAAGAATCACTTGACCCTGGAGAGAAGAGGGGTTCAGGAGAGCTGGTAGATCTTCAGGGGTTGCCTCCTTCATGCTCAAGAATGGTCCATTCCTATGTGCAGGAAGTCAAGCAAAGGTGGACAGAGGCCTGCATGGATGACAAGGAGCTCCTGAGAAAACTTGGAACAGAAAAAAGAAGCATGAAAGAAGTGGAAGCACAGTCGGGCGACTTGCGAGGACACACAAGATGCTGTCTAAGCATGCAGGGATGGGGTTAGCAAAACCAAAGTCCTTCTGGAGCTGAATCTCACAAGCAACATGAAGGGCAATGTGAAGGGCTTCTACAGGTACATCAGTGGCTGGGAAGAGTAGGGAAAATGTGTACCTGCTGTGTGGCAGGGGACCTGGTGACAAAAGACAAGAAAAAGGCCAGGATACTTACTCAATGCCTCCTCTGCCTTCAGGGTTCCCAGGCTTCTGATACCAGTGGAAGTCTGGACATACGAAGACTTACCCTTGGTGGAGGAGGATCAAGTTAAGGAATACTCAAAACAAACTGGGCATACACCATAAAACCAAGTGACCTGATGGGATGTATCCATGAGTGCTAAGGGAACTGTTTGCTGTCACTGTGAGATCATTCTGTTATCTTTGAAGGGTTGTGATGATTAGGGGAGGTTCCTGAGGACTGGAAGAAAACAAATGTCACTTCTATCTTCAGGACAGGCAAGAAGGAGGATTTGAGGAACCTACAGGCTGGTCAACCTCACCTTTTAATCCCTAGGAAGGTGATGAAGCGAATCTGTTCACAAGTCACGCCTGACCAACCTGATAGCCTTCTCTGCAGTGACTAGGTTGGTGGACAGGGGAGGAGTTAGTGGATAATGTTTATCTTGACTTAAGGTGGCTTTTAACACTGTCTCCCATAACATCCCCACTGACAAAGTGATGAAGTACAGCCTAGTAAGTAGACAGTGAGATGGACTGAAAACTGGCAGAACTACTGGGTTCCAAGGGTTCTGATCACTGGAGCAAAGTCCAGCTGGAGGATAGTCACTAGTGGTTTACTCCAGAGTTTGATACTGGAGCTGGTACTGGTTAGTATCTTTATTAGTAACCTGGACGATAAGGCAGATTGCACCCTCAGCAAGTTTTCAGAAGATCGAAATCTTGGAGGGGTGGTTGATGTACCAGGGGCTTTGTCAGGCTGGAGAATGTGGCCAACAGGAATCTAAAGTAGTTCAACAAAGGGAAGTGCAGAGTCCTGCACCTGGAGAGGAGCAACTCCATGCACCAGTAGGTGCTGGACGCCAACTGTCTGGAAAGCAGCTTGACAGAAAAGGACCTGGGCCAGCAATGCACCCTCATGACAAAGGCAAGTAATGTCTTGGGCTGCATTAGGAGGGATGTTGTCAGCAGGTGGAGGGAGGCGATTGTTCCCTTCTACCCGCACCATTGAGACGATACCTGGAGTGCTGTGTCCAGTTCTTGTCAATGTGCATACATACCTGATGGAAGGGAGTAAAGAAGGTGGAGCCAGACCATCCTCAGTGAAAAGCAAGAGGCAATGGGCACAAACTGAAATACAGGAAATTCCATAATTCCATTTAAACGTACGAAGAAGCTGCTTTTTTTTTTTTTTTTTTTTTTAATGTGAGGGTGGTGAAATACTGGAAAGGGCTGCCCAGAGAGGTTGTGGAGTCTTCCATCCTGGGAGATGCTCAGAACCTGAATGGGAACAGTCCTCAGCAACTTGCTCTAGCAGACCCTGCTCTGAGCAGAGGGTTGGACTGGCTGGTCTCCAGACGCCCCTTCCAACCTCTGCAATTCTCCTGTGATGCTGTGACAGGAGCAAAAATCAGTCAGGAAAAATAGTCTGAGGCAGGTTGTGCGTGGTGGTTTCTGGGGTTTTTTTTGGTGTTTTTAAATTAGATTCATGGTAAACCAGAAATAATAATAAGCCTTGCACCTCTACTTGTCTGGCATATAAATTGCCATAATGGATGCTTTCTAGTCCTGGCAATTTGTTCATCTGTTTAGATTCACATACATCTGGAATTCAAAATGCAAACTGCAGCCATGCGCACATCACCTCTGAAGTTGGCAGTGGCAGTGTAGTAGAGGCTGTGTTGTAATGCTTACCTTAAGGGCCAGGAAAGAGGAAGGTATCATAAAAAGCAATTAGCAAAATGGTATAAGAAGATAAATAAGCATGGTATGTAAATAGCTCTTTAAAGTAGATGCAGTTTCCAGGAGACGGAAGGTAGAAGTTAGCTGAGCTCCATTACCTTAGATTACTAAGTAACTTGCACTGTACCTTACCTTGGAATTGGCCCTGCAATATCTCATAGCACATGCCCCCTTGCTGTGATCTGATTTCATTCCAAGTTTTTCAGATTCAGCTCTAAAATAGTCGATGGCTTGCAATCATTATTGCAAAGCTTCCGCTATATTAGTGCATGGCTCTACTCCTTTTCAACTCATCAGAGTCACTGAGGTGAAGTGCCCTTTTGACTGGCAAGGGGAGTCGTGTAAAGAGAGAGGGAAACTGCTGAAGGTGGCTATGTTGTCTCAGTTGGAGAGTTCTGCCCTAAAGCAAATCACCATCATCTTCTGAAAAGAGGAAGAGAACAGGACCTACCTCGTGGATTTGTGCACCCTTAACTCTGTGAAAGACAGGTTTAGATCCAGAGTTTCAGGGTGGTATTTTCATTGTTGATAGAACTTGACTTTTAATTCTTCGTTCTCTCTTCTTGTGTACTTCTAGGTTACGGTACAAGGGATATTTTGGAGGTGTAACTGCTCTAACAAGAGATCAGTTTTCCAGGGTGAATGGATTCTCTAACAGCTACTGGGGTTGGGGTGGAGAAGATGACGACCTTCGAATCAGGTAATAAATTCAAAACAGTATTGCAGTGGGGATTTGGAGCGTGAGATGCAGTTCTATGAACAGTTTCCTCTTTGGAAAGGTTAGGCATGCCTGAGACCTGGTCCCCCTCCTGACAGCATTGTTGTTTGGGTGTGGGGTTTTTTTGTTGGTTTGTTTTGGTTTTGTCTCAGCCACACAGTATTTGTATTCTCGCTTGGAAATTGGTTATAAATGAAATAATAAGATTGAAGTCTAGAGCATGATTTGCTAAAGAGACACACATGTATTGAGTTCCAGTACTTTGCAAGAGAGTGGGAGTGTTTTGGTTTTGGTGGGATGGGGTTTTTTTGCATTCATTGACTACTGAGATTTACTCCAAGCAGGGCTTAGTTTGTATGTGGGTGGTGGTGATGATAGTTAAAAGATAGTGAGTAACTTGAATTTTGGAAAGACTGCATGTATGTGCATATGCCTCTTGCTAAAACTAGTTTTGCAGACATGCCTTTCAAAGTAGGAGAAACTTGTTAGTTTGAGAGGTTTAGCGAGACAAAGAAGTCAACAAAACTCTATGTTGATCTTCTGCCCTTTGCCTAGGAGACCTCTAGTCCTGCATTGCTGTTAGTGAAGGAAGGAAGAAAACCAACAACAAAAAACTCCATGACCACCCCACCAGCTCTGCTGGCAGAGCCTGTCGATTTGTAACTTGGGTATACTCTGTCATTCTTAAGTGTTTATCCTTTTCAATTGCTTAAATGTGCCAACAAACATTTGGGGGACATAAAATTCATACCCCTGGTGATACTAAATAATTACATTGCTGAAATCAAGTTTGATAAAGTTAGGAAATGAAAGTTTTCCTCTGTGTCAGTTCAGCAGATTGGTCAGCTGTACCTCAAGAAATCTGAAAGGTCTACCGGTGACATGGACTTCTGTCCCTTGTTAATCACAATTTTTTTACTTTCTCCCTACCCCTAGCTAGAGACACCAACTTCTCTGTGACCTCTTGGGAGCTGGCTTTTATAGTGCTAGGGGATGGCTTGGTACCACCTTATTCCCCAGCTTCCTGGGAAGTGTCACAGTTAATGAGCGAACAAAGGTGATAGTGGTGTTCTTTCAAATGTTCCTGTGGGCAGCAGATCAGCAGGATTTACCGAGGGTCTCTGCAATGTTTGCAAGTGGCTGTAATCAAAAGTGATGCTTGCTTGTGTGTGGCACCTTATAACTTTGTAGCTTTTGTGGTCTTGGTGTGGAAACCAATTCGTGTGACCCAGAGTGCACACTGCAACTGGACTTGGCTCATGCCTGTCCCCCTGGGCAGATCTCCGACCGCGCTGGTTACAGAGTTTGTGGTGGGTAGGTAATTGGAAGTGTGCTGTCTCGGTGGGTGGTTGTACGGAGAGATCTTCGCAGCCTTCCCGTGCAAAGACAGCAGATGGCAGCAACCCCTTCGGTATCTTCAAGAACTTTGGGCTGGAGCGCTCTTGGGTCCTACTGTTTTGCCTCTATGCTAAATGTGATGGTCTCTTTTGGGCCCCTTCCTAAGGTGCGCATCACAAAGAAACTTTTCAGATCGTTTGTTGTATTTGTTTGATAATATACGGCTACAAACAGTCACTGGAAAGCTGAAGGGCTCCATTTCTTCCATTCTTGGTTTCCTATTGCTCTTTCAGCTGCTGTGACTAGCAAAGACCTGGGCTATTCCTTAATTCCATTGTCATGAAGTTAACCCTTTCTGTTGACAGAGCAAAATTGTTGTGCTCTGCAGACATTTAAGGCCAAAAGCTCCAATCAAGTGCCTGATGTCAGACACTTAAATCCATGCATGGGGCTCAGTGTTTCTGGCACTGTTCTCAGCAAATTTTCTTCACGTCCACAAATAAAAATTTTGCAGCTGTCTGCCAACTATTAAAAAAGAAAACAAGCTTTTTTTCGAGTGGAGAACTATCAAGTATAGGGGCTTTATTGCAGGAGTTGAGATGAACTTGTTGCAAAACATGTGGAATTTTGCTATAGACCTCCTAGGTTTAATATAGAGCACTAAAAACTAGACAAGACAATACTAATTTAAATGTAATCTGTTGTATATAACGTGTGCTTAAAGCTCTGTATGATCTCTACTGTAGTAGCTATCTGCTGCTGTTCAAAAGAAATGGGTATCTGTCACCCTACTGGACCTGTTCTCCAGAAACACAACTCTAAGCCCCATTTCTCTGGCAAAATGGGTTGTGGAAGAGATGAAGATGAGTTTTCTACAGTTCTTTGTGCTTGCTTTGATGGCATCTAGAAGAGACGAAGTCTCCAAATGTTGGGTTTTTTCCTTAAGAGCTTGTTTATAGGTGATGTCTTGCTCATGGCACTATTGTTTCTTCCAGGGTTGAGATGCAGAAGATGAGCGTGGTGAGGCCGTCTGCTGATGTAGCCAGATACACGATGATCTTCCACAAACGAGATCATGGTAATGAGGAGAATGGAGAAAGGTGAGTCCAGAACAGTGTTCCATCTTGCATTGTCTTGGTATGTGGCTAGGAGCCAGGCACCTGGGGGCCAAGTTCTTTGCTCTAGGCCAAACAGGCATTTTGTGGTGCCCAGAGGCTCTGGGGGACACCCCTGTGACACCACTGTTCACAGCTGGCAGCTGTTTTTCTGTACATGAGATCAGCCTAGAATTGACTGGGTGGTGTGCCTTAGAAACTTCCAAAGTTATAGTTTATATAGATGTGATTTGAGCATATGATTTCAGAGATTAAATCAAAGGACTCCTTTCCCCGTGTCTGATTGTTCATGCTGAGGACAGGAAAAGCATGACTTTTATGTTCCCAGTAGATACAGAACAGCTGTAACTCTGCCTCTAAGTTTACTAGTAGTGGGAGAGAGCTCAAAACTTCTCTCCTATGCGTGTCAGTGAAGATTTTCTCCTCTTTGTCCTCAGGATGAAGCTCCTGCGTCAGGTGTCCAGAACATGGAAAACAGATGGGCTGAACTCTTGTTCATATAAACTGCTCTCAGTGGAACATAACCCTTTATACATCAACATCACAGTGGATTTTGGCACGGAGCTGAAGACCTCCTAAGGGCAAACATCACATGGGTTATAGGACATGGCAACACCTTCTCTTTGTGGTTGCTCTTACAGCAGATGACTCCTGGCACTCTGCTTGATAGAGTACTTTAGTAGCACAGAAGAAAGTTTTTCTTCACAGCATCTAATTGGTTGGTTGAGAATTGCCTTTTGTGAGGACTGGAGATACAAACTGACCTAAGGGACAGGTCCTCATGTTCTTCTATGCACTCCCTGCTGGGACATTTGCAAAAGTGTCCTTGTTTGGGCTGGTCCAGTGGAAGGACTTGAACTAAGTCTCCTGAAAAAAAAATTTTGTTCTTGCAACTATTCCTAAACTACTTTTTTTGTTGTAGGGGAAAGGCAGCCTAGCACTGCCAAGACTTCCTTTCAAAAGGAACAGGCCAGTCTTTTCTCATTACAAGCGCAAGAATTCTTCACCAACTACAAAGTTGCTGAGAAAAGCTAATTTTTCCAGCCTGAGGAAAAACTGCTTATGTGTGAGGGAAGGGCAATAAGGGTAATAGGTGAGATGTTAAAAATCTCTCAATAAATACATTCCACTGAATTCAGAAGCTTCTCTTGTCCTTCATGAGCTCAGCTCACCCTGCTGTGGGACTGCTGAAGCGTCCTGTGGCAAAATGAAAGTCTCGGTTCTGCAGGAGGCTGTGTGTTATTCTGGAGAGATCTGGAAGGAAATGCAGTGGCCAACTATGTCAGATGGAAAGAAATTACTGTCTATAGTGTTAGCAGACTGCATATTTGTATATATACCCAGGCCATTATTATTTGTGGGTTTTTTTAGAAGATTGGTCAAGGCCTGTAGTTAACTAGTTGTTCTGGTATGCTGCAGCATTTCTGCTGAAATCTTCATTAGAACACTTTCCTTTCTGCATTATACCCAACTGTCCTTATACCTGCTTGTTGGATATGCATCCCTTGCAGGCAGAGGTGAAGCCAGGGTTCGGAGAGTTTCTTTGAGGACACAATACATGAAGAATTACAAGACAAAAGGAACTTCTGCTTACTATAATATTGAAGAATGGTTCTCTAGCTGGTTGACACATTATTCCAACTGTAGAGAAGGATGAAGCTTTAAATAAATTCTTAGGTGTTAGTGGGATAGATGCAGCTTTTCAGTGAACAGGGAATTTTAGTATCTACCAGTAACAAGCAAAAATACCCTCTGCCATCCTTGCAAAATAATTGGACCTGGTAGGCAGTGCTACTGACTGACTTTTCTGTAATCTTTCTTTCTCTGTAAAGGGAAGGTCTCGGGCAGACTGTGTCAGACTCGTAGTCAGATAAGTAC